AAAAAAATGGATTTATGTACTAATATACAAAATGCATGATATACATCATGCATATCTAAGAAGTAGCAATAATAATTTCTTTATTTAACACACCTGGAATGAGTATATTTGTAAAAACATGTAGGGGAAAAGTCACAAACACTGTTTTATAATCAGTTTGGAAAATATTCATCATTCAACGAGTACTTAAAAAAAAAAGTACGAACAACTTTTGGCACTAAAGAAATAATGAGATAAAAGGCAGTTTCTGTCGTCACAGAGCTCAGGGGAGGAAATCAGAGAAGCACACAGAAAAGGTTTTGCAGTCTGGTAAAGCTCCTCAGACCTGAAAGGGTGAGGAAGAGAAGTAGGTGCATTAACAGAGTAAGATTATCCTAGCAGAGAGAAAAATGCGTGAAGGACTTTAAGTGAGATAGCACTTAGAACTTTTTAGAACTACCATTAAAACAAAAGAAAACAAAAAAAGCGCAGAAGAGGGATAGTGAAAGAAAGGGAAAGTGAGAGAAAGGGAGAGGCAATGTACCATAGGAATATGAGGTGCTCTCGAACTGTAAGCTATAGTCATAACAAATGGGAAGTGTTAAAGTACTGGCCTTCCTCCTAAGGGCAATAAGAAACCCCGAACAGCTTCTTAAACTTCAGCCCTGCCACTCAAAAGTCGTATGACTTTAATGAGTTACTTAAACCACTTGTGCCTGTTTCCTAATGGAGATAATAATACACCTATTTTACAGGACTGTTGCCAGGACCAAATGAATACACCAAAAGCATTTAAAACAGTACCTGGAATATGGTAATAGCTCAATAACTGCCATGGTATTACTGTATTAGATTTGCATCTTTAGAAGATACATACAGAATGAGGATAAGGAAACAAAGTAAGTTATGTCTGGAGCATTAATCTCTTATCTTCATTTTCCCCAATTTTATGATACAATTTATGCATGTTTTTCATGAAAATCTGGATGTTTATTTACTTAGGGAAAGTATAGAACCATGTCTTCTTAACAACACTCTATTTTCATTTTCCCATATGATACAATCTAAAGAGGATGAACGACATGACTCTGAAAATCCTTTCCTAACTAGGAATCTTTCTGATCCCAAAGATGAGGAAAAGGAAGTACTTATGACAGGGTTCAGTTTTGTCCCAAAGGCCGCATTCAGAATGCACTATAATCTTGTCATATCCTTTCCCTCAGTAATAGTACAACAGACACCTGCCTACAATGGTGTCCTGAATTCCTTAAGAGAGAATAAGAGAACTAATAAGAGAGAGAAAGAAGAGATGGGCAAATTTAAACTTGTACTGGCATGTACTGATCATCTAAACTGCAAAAACATAAGCAAAAAGGCATTTTTACTGATGCTAAATCTATCACGCATGACAGGATACCAAGAGAGTTCATGAAGGAAATCCTCCATGAACAACTACAAAACTGCAAACACACATATTTAATTTTTCAGGTCACTTTGCTAGCTATGGAACAGGAAAAAGCAGGGTAATTCAAAAGAGCAACATGGGGTTTTAAAGCTATAAAACATAAATTATCTCTGTTGTAGGCAATTAATTATTTGAAATTAACCTAGGGCAGTGGGAAAATTAATAGGTCCAATGGTCCATAGGAATATTTCCTACTTCAGAATTCAACATTCTTCCAAGGAAAACTCTGTTAATGGCAGATCAAGTACCACATTCTAAAATCCTACATATCCATTAAAAAAAAAAAAGCATATGTTATTCTCCACACATTCAAAATGATTCTGGTGTGACCAACTGAAGCTAGAGCTGTAGTTCTAGCTTCATACTGGGATGTACAGAAGGCAGTGGGGAAGACAGATTACCAATGATGTTTCAAACAGTTATAAATATTCCCAGACAACAAATATTATCGACTATATAAACCTTTTTCTCATGATCTAAGGTTAAAACAGAACGGATTTTCTTTCTTAGATATTCTTTTTTTTTTTTTTTTGAGATGGAATTTCGCTCTTGTTACCCAGGCTGGGGTGCAATGGCACGATCTCAGCTCACTGCAACCTCCGCCTCCTGGGTTCAGGCAATTCTCCTGTCTCAGCCTCCTGAGTAGCTGGGATTACAGGCACGCGCCACCATGCCCAGCTAATTTTTTGTATCTTTAGTAGAGACAGGGTTTCACCATGTTGACCAGGATGGTCTCGGTATCTTGACCTCATGATCCACCAGCCTCGGCCTCCCAAAGTGCTGGGATTACAGGCTTGGGCCACCGCACCTGGCCTTCTTAGATATTCTTTTAGTTCACAAAAGGTAAATTTTTAATGCAAAAAACAAAGAGTTAAATGAATTAATACTGTTACTTAAATGCAAGACACATTAAACAGTAAGGTGCCAGAATGTTCAAGTTAAATCAAAACAAAGAAGATATATGACTTTCCATTCTATATTCGAATCCTCCATAATTATAAAGATTTAGGGTCCAAAAACATTGTAGTATGAAAATTAATAGCTAAAAGAACATAGCCTTCATGGGAAAAAATAGGGTTGAGAGACTTCACTGGTTAACTATGAAAGCTCATTTATTTTTAAATAGTGAAGATGGCAAACAAAGAGTATCATCGACTTTAAAATATATTTTAAAATTTATTCTTCAGTAGCAATAGCTAATTTTCAAGGGTACAACAGTAGAGCTGGCTAGTGGCTACTCAATGTCCAGCACAGATATAAACATTTCCATCACCGCAGAAAGGTCTACTGGGCAGTGCTGAGCTACAGATATATCTAAATTTGCCACGTCACTAGGAAGGCCTACTTAAAACAACACTGAAGGCACCTGTGCCTTCACTCAATGTCTCATGCCCCTCCTTGTATATTAATAAGCCCTCTCAGTGCAGTGAAGAATCATGGTATACGAACCATAAGACAGGCTCTGTGTTTTGGCTCATTAATCCTCACTGTGCTCTGAAGAAATAGAAACGCAGCAGGCATCACCCATGTTTTATAGGTGAGGACACCAAGGCACAGAAATTAACCTGCCTGAAGCTATAAAGTCAAGAATGGAGTCACAAATAAAAGCTGGATTCCCTAACGCCCTAACCAGATCTCCATTCATTAAAGTAGTCATAGCTGATTTAAGAATCCTAGAATGAAAACTAACCAGTTTCACTTGACCTAGGCAATGATGTGCTTTACCAAATGGCTTGCTACAAATACAGGAGGGTTCTATCCGTTAGGTCCTTACAAAGAAATAGTTATCTCTGTTAGTCCCATGTATATAGACACACACACAAACACACACACACACACACACACACACACACACACACACACACACACAGAGAAACATACACACACAAGAATATACATATCTTATAACCTGTGATGAGAGATAAAAGAAATTAGACACATTTACTGAAACTAACAGCACCAAGGTATGGTACATTCTTGCATTATTAATTTGGTTTTCAATTGTGTTAAATGGTTGCCAATAAAGATTACAACCTAGAAGCTCTGCATTTTGTAACTTATTTGCATCTGCCACCATTGAAAGCCTGATTTTTGTGTGCTCTTTTTAAACCAAAGAAGCAACAAGAGCACAGAGTGGCAATGACTGCATTTTCATTTCAACTACTTAATTAACTGAAAAGAATAAAATAATACATAGGGAGACATGAACCAAGTTACAGATTAAAGATACAAAATCTACATACAGCATTTACTGGTGACACTCTTGACAACAGCAATTTTAAAACCCACCTGCTGACATTCACTAATGCATCTCTGTGTCCTGCCACAAAGTTTACCCAGAACTGCATGTGAATGATGTGAAAAATCTAAGAAATAATTCAACTGCCCTTGCCCAATATTAAATTTTTATATGCTTTACCTGTTGTTATATTACACACACACAAAATGGGAATGAAATATTTAAAATAATTCCAAACCATTAGGAAGCATACAAAATAATTATTTCTATAATACTTATTAAAGAATAAATCAATCTATAGAATATAAACACTAAGTGAATTTTTCCATTAAATGAAAGCCTCCAAAATTAATTTGACAATTGTTTCTGAATTAAGAAAGTGAATCTCCTCCAAAGATGTCAGCACAGTCATCCCCATTGGTATCCATGGGGAATTGGTTCCACCACCCTTGTGATGTCAAAATATGCAGCTGCTCAAGTCTCTCATAAAAAATGGCATAGTACGTACTTATAAACTACACATATCCTCCCATATACTTTAAATCATCTTCAGATTACTTGTAATACCTAACAGTGTGAAATGCTGCATCTTTATACCATATTGCTTTACTTAGATTATTTTTTATTGTTTTTCCCTATTTATTTTTTTAAATTTTATTTTATTTTAGGTTTTTATTTAAGTTGTGAAGGTTATATAGGTAAACTTGTGTAATGGAGGAGTGCTGTACAGAAGATTATTTCACCGCCCAGGTATTGAACCTGGTAAGTAATAGGTATTTTTTCTGCTCCTCCCCTTTCTCCCACCCTCCTCTCAAGTAGACCCCAGTACCTGTGGTTCCCTCCTTTGCTTGTATTCATGAGTTCTCACCACTGAGCTCCCATTTATAAGTGAGAACAGATATAAATTGGTTGGTTATCTGTTCCTGCGTTAGTTTGCTAACGAAAATGGCCTGCAGCTCCATCCACATGCCCACGAAAGACATGATGTCATTCTTTATTGTGGCTGCATAGTATTTCATGGTGTATGTGTACCACATTTTCTTTATCCAATCTGTCATTAATATTTCCCCAATATTTTTGATCTGCAGTTTGCTGAATCTCAAATATGAAACCCAAGAATATGAAGAACCAATTGTATCATAAAGAAAAAGGGCATGAATGCTGATTATAAATGCAGAATCTGATGATCACATCTAATTTTAATTGTGAAAGAGAAGAAAGTCATCAACTTGAATATTAAAGTCTCTGCTTTATCACATACCTTGATTCAAGAATGTAAGCCAATTTTTAAAATAATTTTTAAGTTGAACCACTTACACAGCATTCCTGGAGGCTCCACAGGAAAGTAATAGCTTGACTATATCCATGTGCCCATTCTTGGCTGCATCGTGAAGTGGTGAGTCATTTTGATACCCAGTGGTATTCACCAATGCCTTATGCTGGAGCAATAATTCCACTATCTTTAGGTGCCCATGATTGCAAGCTTCATGCTAATTAAATTTTTGAAAAATAAGTGAAAGAAGTGATAAGAAAGAGTAATGAATGATATTATAATATCATACTTTAGAAAAATGTAAATGTCAGGACTCCAAGTTTGGGTCTCCTCCCATGATCTCCCTTCGTGGAAGCCGTCTCCCTTCCCACATAGTGGGAGCTCTCTTTCCCCTCCCAGATTTCCCCTCTGTGGTCCGCTTCCACCCAGTGTGGAGGCTGCTTTTCCTCTCCTAAACTCCATCTCTCTCTCTCAATTCCCTACCACTCAGACTGGAAGCTGTCTTTCCTATCCTGGATTCCATCTTCCTGGATTCTCTCACTCAGTGTGAGAGGAGCTTTTCTTCTCTGGTTTTCCCCCTCTGGGAACCCTTCTCACTCAGTGTGAGAGCGGCTTTTCTTTCTCTCACTCAGTGTGAAAGTTAACTGTTTCTTTCTCCTTCTCCTTTTTCTCCCTCTGCTTTAAATAAATCACTTTCTATAAAAAAAAAAAAAAAAAGCAAAATGTAAATGTCAGGCAGTAAATTTACTGTTACCTAAATACTCATGAAGACTGTTAAGTTGTTGACAGAGTGAAAGTTACTATTAACTCATCGTTTTGATAAAGATCTGTGTAATTCATGAAATAAGAAAAGGCAATTCATTTGAGCCTTGGGTCCAGCACGTTTACATTTTTTTTGAGATGGAGTCTCCGCACTGTTGCCCTGGCTGGAGGGTAATGCTGCAATCTTGGCTCACCCCAACCTCTGTCTCCAGGGTTCATGTAATAATCCTGCCTCAGCCTCCTGAGTAGCTGGGATTACAGGCACACACTACCATATCTGGCTAATTTATTTTGTATTTTTAGTAGAGACAGGGTTTCACTATGTTGGCCAGACTGGTCTCAAACTTCTGACCTCATGATCTGCCTGCCTCGGCCTCCCAAAGCGCTGGGATTACAGGCATGAGTCACTGCGCCCGGCCCACCATTTTTTTTTTTTTTTTTTTAAGAAAATGTAGCTTGTGGGCCGGGCGCGGTGGCTCAAGCCTGTAATCCCAGCACTTTGGGAGGCCGAGGCGGGTGGATCACGAGGTCAACAGATCGAGACCATCCTGGTCAACATGGTGAAACCCCGTCTCTACTAAAAATTACAAAAAATTAGCTGGGCACGGTGGCGCATGCCTGTAATCCCAGCCACTCAGGAGGCTGAGGCAGGAGAATTGCCTGAACCCAGGGGGCGGAGGTTGCGGTGAGCCGAGATTGCGCCATTGCACTCCAGCCTGGGTAACAAGAGCGAAACTCCGTCTCAAAAAAAAAAAAAAAAAAAAAAAAATGTAGCTTTAAACCAACTATAGCTCCTTGTTCTACAATAAATTTAAAACATTAAAAAAAGACTATGTATTTAATAACAAGATGATACAAAAAATCTGTACCAGTACATACACACATCATGCAACAAAGTATCTGTGGAGTACTTTGCTGAACCTACAGATAGCTGTATGACCACTGTCATTAATAAGAGAAATAACATGAGTAGGAATACAAAAAGAGCTTGCTGAATGACTGAACTGGTAAGAATGGAATGCTCAAAGATGCCTTAGGTACAAATCTTCCCTTATGTCTAATGAACTACTAACAATGTCGTATTCTACTAGATCTCTCGCGTTCTATACTTTTTAAGTACATCTATTTCAATTTATAATATGTGATACCACACTCAACATCTGTAGGTCTATTTTTAGGAGAAAGGAATCCTAATTAGGCATTAAACCCTCTACATCACTAACCAATCTTTACTACAACTTGTTAGTAGCTTTGAAGAAAAAAAATTAAGGTTTCTTTGAAAAGGTTAGCCAGCCAGTAGAGTCCAACCAGCAAAGTGACTGATCCAGACTAAATCGTCCCAGCTTTTTAATTTCCGGGCTGCATTTCTAGTTTACAGGATGAAGGCATCTACTTCATTTGCTGCCACTTCTGTGGCTGCATTCAAATCTCACATTTATTTTTCCTAATGTAATCAGCCTACATAGCAATTGTTTCCAAGTATTTGTGTCATTCTGTTTCCAGATTATGCTTCACACTTTTACTTTTAGTAATAATAAGCAAAGACTTTTAAAAACATTTAATGTAAGCAAAGATTTCTACTGTCTTATATCTCTGCAATTGGATAGGGTGTAAGTGAGGCTGAGATAGACCCTCAGTAAGAATTACTTCCTTGTGATCACTTTCCTATACTCAGTCCTCTGACCACTTTTTGTTCCAAGAAATTTGGTTCCAGTGACATGCAGTGCTACAGAATGGAGCCTGATGTCAGCTGTAGGTGTAATCTCCAGACATTAGCTAAATTCTGCAATATAGTACAAGTAGATTCCTAAATCTAGTCTGTCAAAAGGTAACCAATTTCTTGCCTGTCACAAATGAAAAGCTAGAAGGAAAATAATCATGTTCTCATACTTGATGAAAACATAAATTTTTCAGACTAAAAAGAGTATATGTGGCAGAGGATGAAACATAGACAACTACATAACTATAAACTATAAGAACTGTAAAACATAAAAAGAATGAGAATAAAAACCAGACAGATACCAATGGTGTCCATCCAGCATGGTCTTTAACATTTGGGTCACTTCCATTTTGTAAAAGGTATTCAACAGAAGGTATGTCGCCCTAGAAAAATGAACAAAATAGAAAGAAATTAAAAAGCATTAAGGAAAGAAAGGAAAACATTGAGATTTTTAAAATGTTATCTTCAAGATAAAGTAAAACTTAAATAGTTGTCTCTTAAGGCTACTGTTCATGAGTGAATAAAGAAATCATTAGGCCAGGTGTGGTGGCTCATGCCTGTAATCCCAGTACTTTGGGAGGCCAAGATGAGTGGATCACCTTAGGTCAGGAGTTTGAGACCAGCCTGGTTAACATGGTGAAAACCCATCTCTACTAAAAATACAAAAAATAGTTGGGCATGGTAGTGCCACCCCATAATCCCAGCTACTTGGGAGGCTGAGGCAGGAGAATCACTTGAGCCCGGTAGGCAGAGGTTGCAGTGGGTAGAGATCATGCCACTGTACTCCAGCCTGGACCACAGAGTGAGACTCTGTCTCAAAAAAACAAAAACAAAAACAAAACAAAACAAAAAAAAGAAATTATCTATGCATAAATTATTCTGAGATATCAAGAAATACAGTCATGCTTGAATACAGACTACAAAATCTATTAGCAAGCCATATTCAAAATTCATTTCACGGTAACAAATAAAGAACACTAGCTAAAGATCATCTGCTCATAATGAAGTTTTAAAAGCCATAATTTTATTTGTGAAAAAACATTTTTGAGTATATATGTAAATGGCTTCTGGGTATTGTTTAAAACAGACAAAACTGTTTAGCCCAGAAGACTGCTCAGTGAAACCAAAGTTAAAAAACAGCCAAATTTTTTTATTGGCAGTTACTCCATCCTAATACATTCATTTAGTTTATATTCACCTTATTTGTTCAACAACATTTTCTACGAAGCAACAATTGCTCTGTTTAAAATGGCAGAAAAGAGATTGGTAGCAACCTATTTGAATCAGCCCATGGAATTAGCATTACATTTTTATCCCCTGCCCCCCGCCCCGTTCAAGACTGAGATCACCACTCATTATCAACTAACTCTACAGGAAATAGAGCTTCTGTAAATCCATGATGTAGCCTTACAAATCTTTTCTAACAAATAGTTTTCAACCTCTCACTCTTTATTTCCCTATTCCAGTACTCTGGAGATCTACACAACAATGTTCTAACAGTAGCACACCAGTGCAGTGGAGAGAGAAGGAAGATGAAGGTACAGTAAGAAATACAGTAACTTCACTTTATAATTCAACACCTCTTTTTGAATGAAGAAAAAGATCTGGGAAATAAGTGAATTAAAATAAGGCACAAGGCAATGAAAATGAGGGCAGACAATATTAATTTGGCTTTTATAATATTAAGACATTATCAATTATTAAACAGCATTAAAATTAAAGTCTCCTTCCCAGTTTTGAACTTTCTGTGTTTTGTGTGTCATGATCCAACTAAATCCTACTACAAGTGAGTGGACCTTTAAGGTCACTTTAAAGCTGTCTTTTGAAGTAGGAAATAAAATAGCTTCCTTCTGCTGCCGGCCTCCAGTGAAGGTAGACTCTGGCAAAGGAGTTAAGTCTGAGGAACAGGTCTCAGGGAGTCTGCCCTCTTTCTCGCCTCTTTTTTATTCCTTTCCCTAGAAGTGAGACACAGAATTCTTAAGCTATCGAATACCAAGGTCTCTTAAATATTCCCCTTCGTGTAATGTGGGAAGATCTGACATCTCTCTTTTATATTTAATTACTTATTATGTTTTAAGTATCAGTTAACTCTTAAAAAGGCTTTTTAAAAATCTCTAGCTGTAAAATAAGAGATACTATCCCTTTGTAAAATAACGTCAGGTTACAGGAAGAAAGAGGCGTTTATGCCACGGGACGAAGGTAAAACTTTTCTTGAAATTACACTATTATCACCAGTCACTGCAAATGTAAGTAAACCAGTTCTTTTAGAATAACAGGAGAGGGTACGATAAGTCCATGAAGATAAGGCAAAAATAACTAGCAGAAGGTACTCTTAAAAAAGACTGAATAAAAAGCCATAGATGACAGAAGTTACATACATAACACTGTGTTCTGAGTTTTGTGAAGTGCTTCTTTAGTGAATAAATCTCTCCCCTCCCACCCCTACCCCTAATACTCTTTTCTAAAATGATTTTTTCCTCTGTTGGTTTGACATTGCAGAAATCATTAATTCTCCTGACTTTTGATTTTTTTTCTTTTTAAAAAATTTTACTGGCTTGGGTGCACTGGCTCATGCCTATAATCCCAGCACTTTGGGAGGACGAGGCAGGTGGATCATGAGGTCAGGAGCTCAAGACTAGCCTGGCCAACATGGTGAAGACTCATCTCTACGAAAAATACAAAAATTAGCTTGGCCTGGTGGTGCACACCTGTAATTCCATCTACTCAGAAGGTTGAGGCAGGAGAATTCTTTGCACCTGGGAGGCAGAGATTGCAGTGAGCTGATATCATGCCACTGTACTCCAGCCTGGGTTAACAGAGTGAGACTGCATCTCAGAAAAAAAAAATGCTTTTTATTTCTAATTGTCTCTGTTTCCATGCTCTGGGCTGCTTCTCAAATACAGCAAATCTTCAGTTTTCTAAAAAAGTAAATCCACATGTAACATATATTTTTATATTCCTAAATTAACAAAATTACCATAAATGCTCGATGGGCCTAAAAAGATCATAGGTTTCAAATCAATTGACCCAGTTTCAAGGAAAAAAAATAAAAAAAGAAACATTTTATTCTACTTCTAGAGGAAGTTACCATGTATTTAGCAACTGGAGTGCAATGGCATAGCTCACTGTAACTTCAAGCTCCTGGGCCCAAGCAATTATCCTGCTTCAATCTCCTGAGTAGTAGGTGGGACTACAGGTATATACCACCAAGCTTGGCTTTTATTTTTTTTAGAGATGGGGGCCTGTGTTGCCCAAACTAATGGACCCAAGCAACCTCCTGCCTCAGCTATGTGAGCCCCTGCAACTTTTGCTTTATATTCATATCAGTTACAAACGAATGCAGGAATATCTGCCAAGATACAAATTTGATTTTTTTCAATAACAATCCTGTAAAAAGTGAGATCAACCACCAGAACCACGCACATTCCCTATGTTCAACATGAAAATACTCTCACACACAAAAACCTTCTCAAACATATTTCCCCTTTCTAATTCTACGTGGTAATGAAAAAACATAGTAAAGAAGATTAAAAAGGCCGGGCACGGTGGCTCAAGCCTGTAATCCCGGCACTTTGGGAGGCTGAGGTGGGTGGATCACGAGGTCAAGAGATCGAGACCATTCTGGTCAACATGGTGAAACCCCGTCTCTACTAAAAATCAAAAAATTAGCTGGGCATGGTGGTGCATGCCTGTAATCCCAGCTACTCAGGAGGCTGAGGCAAGAGAATTGCCTGAACCCAGGAGGCGGAGGTTGCAGTGAGCTGAGATCGCGCCATTGCACTCCAGCCTGGGTAACAAGAGCGAAACTCCGTCTCAAAGAAAAAAAAAAAAAAAAAAGAAGATTAAAAAATAATACAAACACAATTGTGAAATGGAAGAGTCTCATGGAAATAGTCAAACAGAAACAGAGTGACAATTTAAAGAATAAACGTAGACTCTCTTTCAAGGTTGCTAGACCGTTGCTATTTTTCTTTCATGTCACCTCTTCATATTATCAAAGTGTCTTCTGTTAACATTCTACCCACCTCTTGAACTGTATAGCTGAATAGCAAACGGCCTGCTTTTTATAACCAATCTGCTTTCTCCTCTCTAGTACTTGAAAGTTTGTCATATTTTCATCTTTCTACTTCATGTAAATTTAATGTCATGCTCATAAATAAAATTATGATAATTAGATAGAGTCTACAGTAACTGGATAAGCTTGAACTGATATGAAGTAGCCAGGAAATAAATTGACTTTTGATTCTGGCTTCTTTAAATTAGTTTCAAGTACTCATTTTTGGGCTCCTCACAACTTGAAAGAATAATTAAACTTTTCTTAAACCATAGCAAAAAAAATTTATCTAAGGAAAGTATTTGCCAAGCCTTACTAAAAATGTTAAATGAATTTGGTATTTTCAAGTAATACACTGAAGGCTGAATATGAGGGTCTGTATGAGTGTGTCCCATTGAATCTTTTATTGCTAATTTTTCAAAGGAAAGATCCTTCACACATTTGTACATACTACAGATCCACGCATATTCCAGCAATATAAATTAACTTCCCAAAAACACACACACAAGAACAAAACTTTTTCCTTATGATAAAGGTTAGCTCTTCTAAAATACCAATAATAAACATATTATTAAAGACAATACAGAACATTACAAGTAAGTACAAGACAAATGACTTTCCCAGCATGGTTAAGCTTTTCCATGTAAATGAACCGACCAGGAACCTAAAACTTCCCTTCTTGGCAAAAGATGCCATTACAACAAACAAAAATTAACCATCTGGAATGAAGCTCTAAAAATGTTAAATATTTCTCTGGCTTCTTAGAATTTATTGAATAAAATACAGGCACACCTCGGAGATACTGTCAGTTCAGTTCCAGACCACTGCAATAAAGCAAATATTGCCATAAAGCAAGACACACGAATCTTTTGGTTTCCCAGTGCATATAAAAGGTATATGTACACTATACTGTAGTCTACTAAGTGTGCGATGGCATTATGTCTTAAAGAAAATGAACAGACCTTAATTTAAAATAACTATCGCTAAAAAATGGTGACAAACTTTTTGCTGGTGGATGGTCTTGCCCTGATGCTGCTGGCTGCTGACTAAGCAAGCAGGTGGTTGTTGAAGGTTGGGGTGGTTTTTACAGTTTTGTTTTGTTTTTTTAAAGATGGAGTCTCACTCTGTTGCCAGGCTGGAGTGCAGTTATGTAATCTCTGCTCACTGCAACCTCCAACTCCAGGGTCCAAGCGATTCTCCTGCCTTGGCCTCCAGTAGCTGAGATTACAGGCACATGCCACCACAACCAGCTAACTTTTGTATTTTTAGGTGAGAAGTAGTTTCACCATGTTGGCCAGGATGGTCTCAATCTCTACCTCGTGATCCACT